TAACTTCCCCCTAATTACTTAACCTTCACTGTGCCGCCACTACAATAATTTTTGGAATGGCTTACTTGACCTCTATCAGCATTAAACCTCAAACTTTAGGTTATCTGTGATGGCAAGTTTTCACCGTTTGGTAAACGTAACTGCAGAAATAAGAGGTACACAAAATATTAAATAAAAACTTTATTTTTTCATCGCTAGTGAATTAACTTAAAATAATCCAACATAAATTAATTAAGCTTCCTTGACATACAGCTACTGACTGGAACGCACTAGATTTTAACTGGCTACGACCCCAGTGCTTCTGTTCGAAGCTACAAATACGAACTGGGTTGGACAACCTAACCTACACACTTACCACAAGAATGTCTGGCATTCACTTTTAATCTAACAATCAAGGTCTGCTAGTCAAGGCAGACAGCGGTAGAAAGATGAGTTTCTAGTGCATGTCCTGCCGGTTATACTTTCATTTTAAACTAAGCTGTTTGCCATATAGTCTGCATAAGTCTTTGGACTGAGTGAGTACGTAACGAAACGAGGTCTAAAGGAAAGAGTCAAATATAAACTTTAACTTTTAGTTAAACTTAAATGAAATGTCACACTTTAACCTAGGTTATTCAATTCTTTCCGAAACCTTCGTCGAATGTTTCATAGAAATGAGTGGAGCTTCTTGTATTACTTCTTGTTTACTAACAAAACCCCATATTTTCCCAGCTTGAGCAGTGCAAAAATTTTGATTTTTTATTAAATAAAAAAAACCTCTCCTTCTCAATACTGAAATTATTTCTTAAAAGTTCTAAACCATCTTTTGAGAAAGGTTTTAAAGGAAATATCTAGAATTGATATTTAATGAAATAAAAATTGTTGAGACCTTTTTTGAGCGCTTTGTATAATTAGTGTAAAAAATTATTTAATAAGTTGACATATAAAATAAATAACAAATAAAACTTTGCTTACTTTTGTCCTTAGAGTGACACTTGATTTGAGTTGTGATATGGACATGAAAAACTTTCCTCATGATAGCCAGTTTTGTGGAGTTTCCATCATGTCTTGTGAGTAGGTATTTTCTTTCTAATCAAGTTTAGTTTCCCTATGATTTATTTCTTTTAGCTGTAATTTAGTACATATGTACAGGGTGATTATAATTAAAGTTTAAGTTTAAAAACGCTATAAAAAAAGAACCACTGATGAAAATGATGTGAAATTTGAAAGGAATGTTATTGAAGAAGGCGGAAAGCGTATGGCAGAAGAAAAAATTTAGTTTTGAAAGTTAGCCACAGATGGCGCTGTAAGCGGCCGAATCACGACGAGAAATGATTCGTAAAACAACGGCTAAGGTGGAAGTTACACATTAAAACGTATTGACAAATTAGAATTGTTGAATAATTTATTTGCATGACTGTACATATCACATCGAAAGGGACAAATCGGTTTCATGAGTTTTGCGGCGACGTACCGCATAAGAACCATTCATCAAAGAAGTTCGGAACTGTCACGAGACTGGCGCAAAACATGTTCAATATGGTGTCCACCATTGTGTGCAACAAGTTGAAAGCGACAAACAGCATGTTCCACAACGGATCGCAGTGTCTCTGGGGTGATGTTCAGAATGTGTTGTGAAATGCGTGCCTTTAATTCTGCTAATTTTCAATTGGAGCACGGAACACAACATCCTTCAGATATCCCCACAGCCAGAAATCACACGGAGTAAGATCAGGCGATCGGGACGGCCAGGCTGTAGGGAAATGACGGCTGATAATTCGAGCATTTCCGAAATGGCGCCTCACAGCTGCTTCACGTGATGTGCAATGTGCGGAGGAGCGCCATCTTGCATAAAAATGATTTCATCCACACATCCATGCTGTTGCAGAGCTGGAATCACGTGGTTGCGCAAAAGAGACGCATACCTCTGACCAGTGACGGTTGCGGTAACAGGATCGGAAGCACCCGTCTGCTCGAAAAAATATGGTTGTATGAATGATGCCGTAAAGCCACACCATACAGTGACCTTTTCAGGATGAAGTGGTACGGGGTGCTTTGCCAATGGATTTTCTGTTGCCCGTATTCGACAATTCTGGGTATTCACGTATCCTGTCAGATAGAAATGGGCTTCATCTATCCACAAAATTTTCCACGGCCATTCATTATCCATTTCCATGCGAGCCAGGAATTCTAACGCAAACGTCTCCCTAGCTGTCAGGTCAGACGGAAGCAAATCCTGCACATAGCCAATTTTGTACGGATAGCATTGCAGGATGTTTCGTACAATTTTCAGCACCGTGCTCGTAGGGCCTGTCCAATGTTCGGGGCAATTCCTCGTGCACTGCACGGTTGCACACCACCGGCCGACCCCTCCTGTAATGCTGGGTACCACTTCTTCAACTACCGTCGAATGCACTCGTTTCTCCTTCTACCAGATTGCACATCAAACGAACCTGTCGCTTCGAATTTTTGCATCATTTCTTTAGACATACGACACTCATTGGACCAATGCCTTCTTTATACCCTTCAGTGTCCTGAATTTTTTTGCAGAGCTACTCTTGCACAATCATCATTCTTGTAATACAGCTTTACCAGCAGAGCGCGGTCCTGCAGTGAAACACCCATGGCGAACGTCTGAGACGCAAAATGAGGAACAGCCTGGTACCTGACGGCTTTATAAACACTGAAATTTAACTAACATTTTAATTTACGTCTTCTTCCGCTTGCAGCGCCATCTGTTGCTAACTTTTGAAACTAAACTTTTTCTTCTTCTGCCATGCCATACGCTTTCCGCCTTCTTCAATAACATTCTTTTCAAATTTGACGTCATTTTCATGAGTGGTTCTTTTTTTATAGCGTTTCGAAACTTAAACTTTAATTATAATCACCCTGTATATATATATGTATATGCATACAGTCGAGCCCTGGGATAACGAAAGGGGCTTGTGAAGGGCATCTAGATATAATGGATCAGGCTTTTTGCCCCGTCTCCCTTCCAATTTCTTATACATTTAATGATATTTTACACTTTTATAACGAGCTTTGAAAGGCTAGGAAAATCAGATACAGAGAACTGTACAAATATCTTCCATTTAAGCATTTTTATGTTTTTGAAATTTTTTCCAGAAATTTCGGAAGTTTAAATGAAAAAGTAAAAAGTAGTAGCTTTTAAAATCATGTTTTAAGATGTTAGGAAGCATATTCCATACATAAAGGTAAATTTGCTTTGATCTTTACCCCCAATATTTTCTCTGATCTACGCAAAGGGTCTGCTACCCAATTCTAAGAGAACGAAAACACAATAAGCCTATCTTAGGACATCATATGGTTTTAGTGATTATTGAATAAAAGAATATGAATGGGTCCTCTGATTTCATTCAAATTCTTTGAGTGAGCTTTCAGACATAGCTCTATTCAAGTCTAATTCTAAGGCTGAAATTTTGGCTATTTAGGGGAAGAAGAAATAGTGAATTATATGTGTCTTAGAAGGGGATTGATTTAGGGATTATTTTATTTAGGGCCATTTAGGATTATTTATTTACGGCTATATAGGGAAAGACAAGTAGTGAATTATATATAGTCTTTAAGTCTTTTGTATGACATATACCTTATAAATGTAATTGAATCTTTGCTTTACAGTCATGAATAAAATTTTCCTGCAATCTGCATCAGGACAGCAGAAAATTACATATTATGTTTGTACTCAGAAGTTAAGTACATTTTTCAATATTTTTGTTATACTTAATTTTCAGTGCTTTTACATTTTTTTATGAGTAAAATAATAATTTGTTGTTATTAGGGTGAACAATCAGAACATTGATATTTGTGCTAAGTATTTTATCGTTTAAAATACTAGCGTATAGCGAAACTAGGAAAGAAGAAAAGTAAATTTAGTAACTGCAAGTAATAGTAATTGTAATTAAACCATAAAATGACTTCTTGTTAGGTTTTTTATTCACTTCTTTTAATAAATGTAGCAGTGTTAATCAGCTATTTTTTATTTATTTTTTAAATTCATGATACAATTTGTTTCACGTTTTTGCTATATAATCGATTCTTTTTATTGGTTCGGGTATAACGAACCACCGGGTACTTCGAACCAAACTTCCGGTCAGTGAAGTTCATTATACTGGGGTTCGACTGTAATGCAATATTCATTATACAAAAAATTCATTTAAAAAATGCGCCCTTGCATGGCTTTTGCATCAGAAAGTAGCAATCAATCGGACATATTGATACAATATTGCATTAATTGATAAGCATATTCTGAGTGTTATAAGAATTGTAATCTCTGATACCATGCACTTTAAAAGGAACTTCTCATACGTTACTTAAATTTGTTTTTCCAAAGGGCATTAACCCAGAAGAGCTGTTAATTTCGTTTTGTCATTTCGCTTAGAAAACTTTAAATGTACGTTTCACTTTTCAAATTGTTGCTACCAAATATTATCGCCCTGTATTATATTTAAAGAAATAAAATAACGAAGAATCTGCGAAAATATATGTATGTTTCTCGCATTGTGAGAAAACAACGGTACCTAGAGCCATCAAATTTAGAATAATGTAATCCTCCCCCGAATATGGGCATCTGGAAATCCTAATTTGGAATTTGTTTTATTATCGATTACATATTTTGTAACACTTTAACTAATTTTTAATTAAAAAACTCAACGATTTCAAAAAGAGCAATGGCAACACTGTGCAGTTTAAAAATTATCTCCAGCGCACGAGATTGTGTATCGGAAATTCTAAAGATATGTTCTTTTGAAATTATTTTGTGATATTACTGTTGGACTGAATTTTATGATTTATGCGCGAAGAACATGATAAAGGCAACATAAAAATAAAGCTAACACACAAAACGTTAAAGGTCCCCTTTGAGTGTTATATAAAATCTGGAAACTTTCATATTTTTTCCCTAATATAGTCATTTTATGTGAAATACGACCTGAATGCATATTAAAATGCTTACTCTGTCGTAACTTTCGTCACAAATTTGTGATTTTTTTTCCTTTAAAGTGATGAATCCATCAGTTGATCTTGTATTGAACTGGGACCCTCGAGAAGCCGTGCGGATTAGTCGTATTTTGACTCTCCCTCAGTTTGAGTTTGGCGATGCATTACTTGGCAATTGTGATACACATATGTACGGAGGTAATTTGCTTAGATTTTATTTTGCTTAGGTGAAAATAATTTGTATCAGTTAAATTTAGTTTAAAAATTAAGTTAAATTTAGTTTTCTAGGTCTTGCCATTTGTCATTACAAATTAGAAAAGTAATTGAATAAGTACTAAGCGCGAGGATATGATTAAAGACAGTGTAATTAATATTAATAGCTCAGAATTTCATTTTGGTAATTACATTTTTCTCTTAATTTGTTATGCAAGTTCAACTTCAAAGCCAGCACTACCTGAATTCCTGGATTTCATAGCTTTGAAACATGAAAAATAATAGCAGTCTAAAACTTTTATGCAATAAATACCCAGAGAAACTCCTAATAGCTTTTTACTGCTGTGGGGCACAGTCAAATTAAATTAATGACTCCATTAAAATTTTATTTCAAATTTAGGTTGCATATTTATTACGTACTTTAATTAGGGATATTAATAAATTCATTTGTCTAAATGATTTTATTGTGGGAAAGTTCGAAAGTCAGATTTTCGGTTTGTAGTTCGTTTAATTTAGTCTGAGAGAAAATGTATACTAGGTAAAATTTTGAACATTGTTGCAATTTAAAAATACTAATTATTCATTTATCTATTTCAAATTTATATACGTTATGTAGTAAATTTTTTGCCTTTCTTCTGAGCTTATATTTGTTAAATCAGGTTAAGTGTTTCAACAGTTAGGTACAAATAAATATATTTTTCTTCGGAAATAGCAACAATCTTTTCTGGTTTCGAAAGCCACCTTTTTTAACGTTGTTAAGCACAGTGTGACCGCTTTGTGCGGTGTGATCAGATTTCCACATCTTGTTTCTGAGGGGTTACTGTTGTTATTGTTGCGCGGGAAAAGGGGTTACTGTTTATTTCGTCTGACCTTGGAGTCGGTTTGAAAGGCGGTTGAACTGAAACAGTGAAAACGTAGCCTCTCACTAGTAACTTAATAACTTATAGCTACTGAGTGATCAGAAAAAAATAATTTAAAAAAATGATCATCCTATATGAGTAGATAAGTACGAAACTGATTTTCATCGAAAGACCATGTTTGAAGTTATATCTCTAGCTTTATCTTCCACCAGTTTGATAGTAGCTGCTAGCTACGGATCTTTTCCCAAAGTGCCGGTGCCCACCAGTTGCCTAGCGGTAACGTCGCTGAACCCTGCTGGTTCGAATACCTCGAACGGGCTGGCTGCATTTATGTTTAGGTGGTTCCCCCATGTAAAGCGTGTATACGAGCCAGTTTTTCTTAGAAAGTTCTCCGCATCCTTTAACTTATGCAGACAGCCTTCGAGGCTTTGTCGTAATAACATCAACCAACTAACCAGCCCCTCCGTTCCGGTTTAACTCTACTGGTCCCAAGAGGTTAGAAATTCGTCTGTTCTCCACTTCAGCAACTAGATATGAAATTTTTGAATGAGCTGTTCTTCATGGTTCCTGAAAGATCTTTTTTCCCCCTCCTCAACCAGTAGTAAAAATGTGGAGACATTAAGTTATTTCGAAGCAGGAGATGTGAAAAATGAGTAATCCCCTCACCGGGACTCAAACTACGGGCCTCTCGAATTGGCGTCGATCGTGCTGACCACTACACCACGAAGGCATGCTAAGATTGAAATAAATCTAACTCCTCATGTTTATGACAATTACTTGAATTTTTCTTCCGGAAAATAATATTTTATTTATGCTATTTTTTACCTGAAGTGTTTTTATAGTAAATTTACTATGTGACTGATTTAAACTAATGAGTTAGTTTTATTATTTTTTCCATTACCACCTTCACTCTTACTGACCAGGGTTGTTTTCGCGGTTTTTGTTGCACAACGCAAATATTTGGTTATTGTACTTGTTTGTCAAGCTATTTAATTTTAATTTTCTTTTATTGACTTTGCTGATAAAATTTTTTGATTTAAAATGTTAGAGTACCGTTTAAAAATAAAACCTTGGTCAAAAGTGTGATAGTACAACTTTAGTTACTTAGAATACAAAACTACCTGGAATACAAAACATTACTTCCTTATAAAGGAAGTACTGCAATCACGAAAAAATCGTTTATCATATTTCAACGGAAATATCCATTTTGGCCGTTCCCGAATACTTTGAACGATTTTTTAGCTTGATGTCTGTACGTACGGGCAGAATAAAAGACTCTTTTTTTTCCAAAACGGATTGCAAATTTGATTTAAAATGGATTCAAAAGGGTTAATTTTTTCTTGACTTCTATACGTACCACGTACTCGTATGTATGCATGTGTATTTGTATCTCGTGTAACTCAAAGACGATTAGCTGTAGAATGTTGAAATTTTGTATATATGACTGCTATAACATCCAGCAGTGGACCTTACTTTTGTATTGCAATCCACGGTACTAAACTTATATGTATAAATGTACCCACCCCTGACTTAACAGTCTTTACCGCGCCTTTGTTTTCGCAGTCGTTGGTTGTAATTCAAATCACAGAAGTCATTTAAATGACGAAAATATTCATAGCTTGGCAATGTCAAACTTTAAAAAAACTCATTTTGGACAAATAAACGAAATGTAACTTTTAATGCGGCCTCCCAGTTCCCATACTTATATCTGGGAAAGTTCATGTTCGTTATGAAAAATAAAATTACGAGACATTTGACAAAATTCGACGTACGACAAAACTCGGCGGCGATATTTAATTTCAAAATTTGCATTTTTTATGCCATTCTCGACTTGCGTCCAGGGATCGGTTAATTAAGTTAGAAAAATTCGAGGAAATATGTTAAATGAGCTGCACTAAAAAATGTGAATAATTTAATAGGTCGTATAAGGTAGTCATATGATGTCCACATCAGATTTGTTTTTAATTACAGTGTTTATATATACATATATATATATTATTTAAATACAGCAAAGCGCTCGAAGGCTATCTGCCTAAAGAAAGGGATGCCTTCATAGGAGACTTTATGAGAAAAGCTGGCTGGTATTCACTTGTCTATTTTGAAATTTTAATGCATTCTAAATATCAAGAATACCTTTTAATGTATTGCAAACTCGGTCTTTGATACAGGCTGATAAATTGCCAGATGGTTAACACCACTTAGCATTTCCCGGACACAGGCCAAGTGAATAAAACAAACCCTTTCACCAGAAACCCAGCCAGAGACGAGTAGTTGTTCTTGGAATCGCTTCCTAGTAGATAAAGGACTTTTGCCATAATGCTTCCATTATTTTTCTCAAGAGTAACGGGTGTATGAGTCAATCTTCCTAAGAAGTATTTCCTTGAAACATGATTTTTCTTAGGCAGGGAGTTTTTTCCTGGTTTGCCTTAATTAATTAAAATTCTAATATTCTTAACATATGTTGATAATTCTCGGCAACATTCATGAGGATCACTATTTGTTTCTGGTAATCACCTCGTATTAAAAATGCTTAAAATTCTGCTTGGTACAGTTCCGAAATTCTGAATCTTTATATTAGAAAATCGTATTTAGTCTTTTATAACCGTTCCGAAATTACTCGCTATTAGAGTCTGTGCTGATAAGACAGACGACAGACAGAGAAAAAAAGACGTTTCACACTCTAAAAACTTGTGGTTGCATTTTAATACCAAAGAGGAACTTTCCATTAAAATTGAAAAGTATTAAGAGTTGAGGGACTTATAAATATTTTGTTTTTCTTCCAAAAAAGGTACAGTGAACTGCGGATATAGTGAACTCGGTTACAGAGAGTTACGTAAGTAGCTGGTTGCGACTCATTCTTTACAATGAACCCTCGACTTCTTCGGTTACAGTGAGCCAAGAGATTATAGCTGAAAAAATTTATTTCAAAATAATTTATTTCAAAAGAAACCTTCTTATAAAATCCTGAACCAACAATACTGTAGCCAAAAAATTATAACTGAAAAAGTGCATAAACTATAATTTATTTCAAAAGAAACTTTCTTATAAAATACCGAACCAACAATACTGTATTTTGAGAACAATACTGTTACATAATTGTTGAGAACAATATTGTAGTTTACTCTGCATTTATTAAATGCACTGATGTTTTTTCGGATTTAAGTTTTTTAAGCAGAAAAGCCCCTCTTCATGCTAACTTCTAGTAGACTTTCAGTGTTGTGCTTCCCGCCGCTACAGCTCATTACATGCTACATGTTATCTCACGTCTCATTAATTTCTGGAATTCATGAATGAACTGTCACTCAGACTGTTATTTTTGTCTGAGTACTTCTGTTCTTTGATTGTCTTCTTTCTTTTATGTTTGCCGACAGTGCTTCCAGTGCATCACCCTTATCTTAGAGCTAATTACGTTCTTTGGCTATGCTGTCATTCTGCCACGTATCTGGCAAGTGTTAACACCACCCGAGATGCAGCTCTGCTCAAGGGAGTAAAGTAAACACTGGAAGTGAATTACAAAGATCTTGAGAAGTAATTACATCGGTTTAGCAGACTACTTGTCAGCGTTCTGGCAGTTTACTTTCTAGAGGAAGAAAGGAAGTTTCTTTAGAATAGTGCTGAAATACAAATGTGCTTTAAGGATTTTTGAAAACTAGGTTTTTGGAGATCGGTTAGTGCGAAAGAGTTAAAAGAAGCTACTAAATAGACTCAAATCCTCTAATGCAATCTTCATTCAGAGAAAGAGGAGTATTGATTTTTCCTGGAAATGAAGTAGCTATGTTTAGCCCATTTAAGTAACAAAACATAAACCGAAGGTTAGAAAAACTGAGGTTAAACCTGAAATTTGCCGACTTAGGAGGAACTGATCACCTGCAGAATACGTAATTACTCTGCAAGCGAAAGGAGTCGCTGATTTGTCAGTACTAGTTCATTAATTTAGTTCTAATTACTGACATACGAAAGATATCAAAATGTTTTGTTTCAAAGACAAGGTGAACATTTTTCACGATAGTGAAAGAGATCTTTCGCATGCAGACTTGTGTTAGAACTAAAGTAAATCAGATATGAGTATTGTCTTAAAAAATTAGGTAAAATCCCGCATTTTTTAAGTACAAATAAACGTGTTGTAAAAGCAAGAGTTATCTAATCAAGAAGACGAATCAACCAATCTTTCAATGGCTTACCTTTCAAAGATTTTTAGGGGTCTTCCTCAATGACCCGTGCTGAAGATTAAATTGATCAACTAGTTAACTTACTAGACAAGAACTACGAGCTTTTGTGTCCATAAGGGTGGCTAGGCAGATGGGATAAGAAGCATAACGTTGCATTTGAGAAGAGTGGCCAGAAAGGTATGTTTATGAACCGAGAAATTTTTGTCTGAAGCAATCAACGATTTCTTCTGGTAATTACTCCAATGATATTTTCATTGGCTAATTTATTAACCAACTGGATAGAACACTGAAGTTTAAAGGACGCAAGTATGTTTGTAGTAAAAAGAGAAAACATACGTAAGTTTTGGATACGTTTTAATGTGACGGAGTCAGAAATGCGACTACTGCTACTATTAAAAAAATTTGAAAATCTCAGATGTTTCAAAACCATGGAGCGATTCCCAAGGAGTTATCAGTTCAACAATATAGCACTGGTGACAATCTTCATTTTTTAAACATATCATCTTAGGTACCAAAAGCCGTGAATGATTGAAAGAAAACTTTTACTTCTAGAAGAGAGTTACCCATCAGAATCTCATACTGGAAACCTCAACATCATCAAGTTAGTGTTCTTGTTCGCGAACACGATTTCAATCGTCCAACTTACAGATGAAAATGTGATTCACAGCTTTGAAATCTATGAGTGAGAGTACGTATCTCCTTTTAATTCAAACCTTTGAATCATAGTAGGGCACATAAATAAATATTCTGGATGCTTTTCTTTTGCCGATAAAGAGTAGAGGGATGTGTCTCTGACCATTGTGTAGAATACGTTCAAGAAGACTGATTTGGAAACCGAAAATAAGTTGGTGCACATTTTAAGAAGATCTTCAGTATATCAGTGCGAATTCCATTAAAACTCAAGATTTATATCGATGTTGACTTTAAAATTGTAACAAAAGAAACCCCATTTAATGAAAACATTCGACATTGTCAATGACTGTTCCATCACGGAAAAAAAACGAGGTTCAAGAAAACGAGGATAATAACGAACGTATTGCAAAGAAGAAAGACGATTTTTGTCTCTAGGACTAGCGATATTAGATCCGGTTGGATTTTCTTGGTTTTCAACTCTGCTGCTTAAATTACAGTTGCCAGAATGTTGCAAACTGACACTTTCTTGGTATCAAGGAGTGCCCCAGAAAATTTCAGAGAAGTTTGAATTATGGAAAAGGAAAATATTTGAATTAAAAGATATCGAAATTTCTCGTAGAATAGTGAAAGACTCTCAAATTTATGAACTAGAGAAATGGAGATTCTGCGATGCCAGCTTAGTGGCTATGCAACAAGCATATTTCTCAGAACAGAAAACTATGCAGCTGTATATTATTAGTTAGTACAAATTAAGTCTACACTAGCTGGCATAAAAGCGACAATACCTCGCTTAGAATTATTAGCTTCCTTCATTAGTCCTCGACTAGCTGCAGACTTATACGTAATGGACATTTAAACGTTTGCAGAAGAGATTCCAGCAAAGCCATTTTTTTTAATTAGACGATGCTTGGGCTACATTCGTTGCCAATAGAGTGAATAAAATTAGAAAATTGTAGAGCACAAGTAATTAATAGTATGTTTTAAGGTCACAGAGTCCAGCAGATATAGCTATAATGGGATGTACGTTGCGGTAACTAATAAAAGCTGAGTGGTGGAACGGACCCCAATGGCTAAAGAAAACTAAAGTTACGTCATTTATTATGAAGCAGTACAGCCCGATGTAACTGTTATAAATTCAGAGGAAAAGAAATGTACTAAGCCAGATAAACGTCATAACTATAAAAGATTCATTCTATAGCAGAAATCTACTATCTGCCGAAACACGAACAAAACAACAATAATAATAATCTAGTAATATACAAACGATTCCATAGCTTGACCAGGATAATTACTGTGTACGAATTCGATAGTTCAAATGTCGTTTGACATGTCTTGTGACAGGTCTTCACTATTTTTGTAACTAGTATGTCGTAGAGATTATCAAAGGATTTGTTACTGGCAGTAGTTAAAATCCTTGGGAAGTTTCTCTACGTGTGTTTAAAGGGTTTTCGTAAAACATAGTGCCCTTCAAATGCCGTCTTAAATCTTTTCTTTATTATATAGTCTGTTGGAGTATCCAGCCTATAAGTTATAATTTTGTGATCACTGAGTGACAGCATGTCATTTACACCAAATCCCTATTCATCACGTGTTGAGAGTAGATATTGTTAGATCTGGCCACCCTCGATCTCTAGATGTTTCAAAAGTAGGCGGTGAGTCCTCAGTTAGTAATAGTGAGTTGACTGTTGATGAATATGAAATTGTTACTCTCCAAGAAATCTAGTACGCTGTTCCTCTTCTTTTCTCCAAGTCAGCTCCTCCGAGTTGAATAATAGCATTAAAATTCCCCAACTATGATAGGGTGTGATGCCCCAGTTAGAAGATTAGAATTAAGTTCTTCCAGCAGGGAAGTGATGTCTTCGCTCGGGGGTAAATAAACAGCAATATCACCAATGCTACACTAGCTCGTGCCTAACCTGATGAAGACTGTACGCTTTGTGCTTCAGCAAAAGTGATATAGACCCACTGCAAATAATTGCAGCCTACTGTTTGTAAAAATACTGATTAATCAATTCATATTCAGCGCAACATTCATGCAGATTAAGTGCTTTGTAATTAAAAAAATGCAATAAGCATCACCTTATATTTGAGTTGGACATCCGTAATCTCTTTTTTTTTTTTTTACGGGAGAAGACAATCCTTTCCATTGTGCATTTTGTATTTTTGTTTCTGTTTGTATTCTAGACACCATGTCTTATGTCCCTCTATGATATGCATACATAAGTTGTCCTGTCTCGCACTAGTCAGCAAATCTTCACGACAAATTTTTTTGTCTTGTTTTTGCTGTTCAGTCAAAATCCGAAACACAAATCGAGCACATTCGAACAATACATAAATCCTTCAGTTTGTTAGTAATGCGGTCACAGTTTAAAAGGTAAATTAATGATTTTACGTAATTTCGAATGACTGTACTTTTAAAGCTGGCTGTTTGGCACGGAGCTTGAAAGATAAATGCCTCGGCAGCGTAATGCAACATAATATCCCAAATCAGTTCGGAAAAAGTTCCGCTAAGCATTAAAACCGTCATAGTTTAGGTAAAATCCAAGAAATAATTATCAAACTTTTATGCTGTCAAGCGATGCTGTTTATTACTAAAAATCACTGCCAACTAAGAATACAGCGGCATAGAATAGTTATTTAATTAAAATAAATCACTACCAAGGACTTCACTCGTTCAGCATTTCATTGTTTCAACAATAAAAGTTAAAAGTCGAAAACAATGTAGTAATGAAATTTAACTTGCGAAGATTTTATTATCATTTACAAGACACGTGTTTTAAAATTTGCATAAAAACATAAAAAGAAATTTTACATGTTACTTTGTAACACGAAGTTCTCAACTTTCTTAAGTAGAATTACCAGTTCACTAAAACTAGTTAAAATGGGTTACAGCCGAAAACATCGCGGACGAAAACGTCGCGGAGAAAACAACGCAAGGCGAAAACGTCGTGCTTTAAAACATCGTAGGAGAAAACATCGCAGTCCTAAAACATCGTGGTACAAAACATCGTCGTCGAAAATAAAGCAGTTTAAAAACTTCGCAATTTAAAAACATCGTCGTCGAAAATATCGTGGTGAAAAATAAAGTATCTACAAATCATCGCATGACGATAGCATCGCAGACATGCTTTTTTCAGCCTTTAGTAACTGTAAATGGATATTCCTATAATGATTTGTGAGCGCAAGATGGAAAGAGGGATAATTTTTACTTTAATATTTTTTATTCACTAATAAATTTTTGCTGAGAAAATAAGACGGAAACTTAAGCATAGAAAATTAATGCAACTTATAGCACTCAATAGAATTTTAAACCGACATAGTTCACTAACAAAGGCCATTAATAAATCATTTTTATAAAGTTTTTACTGGTAATTTTTCATGAAAAGTATAATCTATAAGTTGCATTTAATTAATTAATGTAATAATTTAACTTTTTCAGCAAAAATTTATTAGTCAATAAAAAACTGTGGAAGTAAAAATTATCCTTCTTTACATCTTGCGCTCACAAATCCTTATGAGAACCATATTTCCATTTACAGTTATTAAAGCCTGAAAAAGCATGTTTATGATCTTATCGTCATGCGATGATTTGTAGATACTTTACTTTTTACCACGATATTTCCGACGACGATGTTTTGTACCACGATGTTTTAGGGTTGCGATGTTTTCTCCCACGATGTTTTGTAGCATGACGTTTTCGCCTTGCGTTGTTTTCGTCCGCGATGTATTTGCCGCGATGTTATCGGCGGACACCATTAAAATGTAAGACATGAGATATAATGTGCCTTAGATTATTCATTTTTAATTATTGTGCACATTTTTAGGTCAATAATGTACCGATTATTTGCTTTTAGAAATATTCAGTTGCATCAATGCGTCATTCGTGCTGAACCGGAGGAGTGGCTATTTCATCATCAACATATACATCCCTACAGTACTTATAGTATCTATGTCGATGCTCACATTCTGGATTCCTCCTGAAGCAGTTCCAGCTCGGATAACACTTGGTGTGACTTCTTTGCTGACAATAATCACTAAGCAATATCAATCAAATATGCCTAATGTATCTTACGTTGTAGCTTTAAATATTTGGTTATCTTGTTGCATTGCATTTGTGTTCTGTAGTCTTCTGGAGTACGCACTTGTCATTACGTTAGTAAAGAGGAAACAAATGGAAGTAAAACCCGTAATTCACCATCAGACGGTAGGTGTTGCAAACGAAGTTTGTATTTTTTGTTACTTTTTGCTGATTATAATCCTTATCGTAATTTATTTCATCTACGCACTGTTGAATCACTTTGATATTGATGCACTAAAAGTGTTTTGAAGTAAGTTGAATTGCCTTCTTACGACAGAATAAATAACATAATCATATATCACTTTATCGTTCCTACATCTGATATGGGAATCTTATAACTTTTCCTCAAAAGTTTTTTTTTTTTTTTTTTTACATGGCAATCTTTTTTATTATTTTGTATCTTACAGTACATTAAGAAATTACATATCCTGCATGTAAATTTAAATATAAAATGAAACAATGAGATAAAATTTTGAGACATTTTTATATTCCGCACGAGCCGTGAATTAAATATAATAAATTCAAACAGCGTAAAGGTTAAGTTGTGGAATTATAGAGATCTTTTTTTTTTATTTTAGCAGATTTAGCAGCGATTTAGGACAATAGATTTTGGAGACTGTAAGTTTGAATGAAATGAAGCTCGAGCTAAAGCAAGTATAGAAAATTATCGCTAATGAAAATTAATCGCGCACATTAGGAATGCATAATTAGTATGTGTGCAAGCAAACATAGATTTATTATATGCCTTTATAAAACATATATAACCAATTTATTTATAATATTGTCTTTCAAATAACTGATTAAAATTCACGAAGAAATAGGCACATTTTCAAAGAGAATAGTTATCATGGGATAAACATGTTTGAAGAGGACTGAATGATTGAGGATTAAAACTATCATACGTGATATCATACGTGAATGATTGAGGATTAAAACTATCAAACTATCATACTGAATGATTGAGGATTAAAACTATCATATTTACCCTGCCTCAGAGGCCTAGAATTTATAAATATGCCGCAAATGTATTAAAATGCATATGCATTCCTTAAACATACGTTTCTTGTAGTTTTTGTGACATTAAAATCAGAAAAGCATCAGAAATAATTTCGAAGCAACAACAGCCTAAAATATAATGATACGCAAAAGAGCTCAATATCAACTTTTATTATCAATTTACAGTGGTAGCTCGATTTGCGAGCCTAATCCGTTCCAGAAACTAGCTCGCAAAGCCAATTTTCCCATGAGAAGTATTGGAAATTCAGTTTATTCTCGAATCAAAACTAACCAAAACTATTCATATATAAATTATTAAAAATAGACAGTGAAATGCATAGGTACGAAATGTAAGATAAATAAAACAAATTAATCTATATTTTACCTTTAACCCTTTGCGGCACAGTGTGTCCGGTCTGGACAAACCTAAAAATTTCCTTACGCACAGAAAAATTGAATGAAAAAGGATTTATAAGTTACTATAGGTTACTCTGAACCTTCTTTATTTATAGTAGATGGCAGCTCAACACAGACCAGTCCATATATGTTAGCCATGTTTAGTATTTAAGACCCTCATTTTTCAAAGAAATCTTCCATATTTTTTTAGGGTATAAAAGGAATTTTTTGAAAAGAAAGTTCTATGTTATTTTTTGGCTGTATGCTAATCTTCTTATTTTATATTAGTTTTAAGTTTTTACCTTGAAATCTTGCCTAAAATCAAACGGCGAACCCTAGGTGTGCCCAGACCTGGCTCACCGATAATCTAGGATAACTGAGAGTCTGTATTCTTTGTTCCTCCGCATCTCATCGGTCAGTTCATTGACAACAATGCTCGTTCAGCACTCTTTTCGAAGCTCTATCCAATCAGTGTGCCACTTTGGGCACACCCACAGAATTAAAACGGTAAGTGCTATCTTCACAAAATTTTACTTGTGTTCTCCTGTAGGCCTAATTAGACCGCCTACCTTTTTTTCATCAAAACTCCGACTTTAAAGGTAGCGTGCCGGAAAGGGTTAAAAGAATCCTAGGTAACTGCCAGAATCATTGTTATCTGTTGGCTCTCATTTCCTTTTTTACGCGACTTTTAACAACTAATCTAACCAATGATAGTTACTTTTGCCTTTTATCGCAAAAATTTGCCATTGCATTGTTTAGATTCATCGCTTGCATTGGCACAGCCTTATTTGAGTGCTGCTTTTCCATACAATTTTGCATTCTTTTCTCTTACCTTCCATCATTCTCGTATACTTTACACACATCTCTAATTTAATTTAAAATGAAAGATTTCTCCGTCTTTTTCTTCTCTCTCTCATTAGATTTCCTTCACAATTTTCTGTTGCTGTCTGGCAAACAATAGCTCAGTTCTTATGAGTGTTATTTTACCAGATCTTAAAAGTTGTCCTTATAGGTTTCACGTCCTTATAGTTGTCCCCATAAGATTTCACGGTCTTCCCCAACTACGCACTTTCATCGCCAACTCGCGGTTTCTTCTGCTTATGAGAAAATCCTTTAACATCATGTCCAATAACACAGTTAGGCAACATTTTCCTCCTAGTAATATTGGTGGTTCTCTTGGTAACCCCGTTCCAGGCTTTATCGTTGATCATAAAGCGTTCACGATATGGAAATTACTTTTTCAGTACTATCGGAGATAAGATTTGTTCTTTTAGTTACCTCAAAGAATCACTGAAACAGTTCTTTGGTATAAAGCTTTCTAAAACGCAAAATGGCACACTTATCCATCCACTGCAAGAGTGAGGTGATATTATGAGGAAGAAACTTAACCTTAATAAACACGAATTCCTCCAAGGCCTTCTTGTGGAGCCTTGAAGCCTGCAGGCTCTAAGCCTTGAAGAGACACACAGAGTTCATTATCAGTTCATTAAACAGATAATTACGTCCATTGAAAACTTAAATGATTATATTTAGATCTTTGTAAAATGAAAAGTTGATTTTAGCTAAAATATGTAATAGTTTTTATTGTAGCTATTTTGTTTAAAATGTTCTTGATGTATAATGCGTTACTGATGTTTAAGTGCAACTATAGCGTATCAAAATGACTTCATACTTTGAGGCAAAAAAGAAGAGTTCACATTTGTTGTTAATATACTTCCAAATTTCTCGTTTGTTTTCTAGTAGTCATATTTTTAACAGTAGAAGAATAAAAAACTATGGCTTATTACATATTTTTTTTCTGTCTGACTTTCCCGCAGGCTTTTGTAATGATAAAAAAAATTGAATTTAAGAGACAGTTGTGTGAACGCAAAATTAGAAGGCCTTTTTTTTAATTAAAAAGAGGAGCATAGGCCAAATGATTTTACACTTTGTTATTTAACTACACATTCATCACGTTAGTAGTATGCAGAAGCCAGCTTTTGTCTACAGGCATTTTTACTTTGCTTTAATTATTCTGAAGTTATTTTTTGAGTAACATTTAATACACTTAAATTTAAACAAAATTAAATACAAAAGTTTGAGACATTAGGTATTTTTGGAAGCAGGCAAGATGCAAAATTAGCAACGCCTTCGCCGGGAATCGAACCGCGGACCTCTCGATTACGCGCTGAGGGTGCAGACCACTACACCACGAAGGCTCGTTAAGAAGTCGGGAGAAATACCTTATAAGTTTAAAGAAAAATATGGTCATTCTCTTCTGAAGTAAGTATTTGACTATTTATAAATGATATCAGAAAATAAATTTGTGACACTGTAAATTTTTCTTTAAAGTGTTTTAGTAAATTTTTGCTTACAATGCATATTTTCCCATAGAACAAAGAAGTGGGCTGTGGCGGCAGTGAAAGAAAATCTCAAATAAGTGCCTGGATTGGAAATCATTGCCAGATATTTAAGGATTCTCCTCATTTAATCGATATGGGATCTAAGTTCTTGTTCCCTATTGCATTTATTATATTTTGCATAGCATATGGAGGTCGATATAGCATGTAGTTTACATTCATATACAATTCATGATTTTTTAACTATAAATAAAGAGTGAGGTAGTTATTCGTTAAAGTTGGCTGAAACTAACATGTTCTTTTAAACAATGCTTAAATTTTTCATTCTATTTAGTATCGTTCTATTACGGTAGGAAATGAAACATTATAAATCCAACATTTTTTTTTTTTTTAAATTAACGAATAGAACGGTAATCTATAATTTTTGTTTCACTTTTTCAAAACCTTATAATTTTATTCATTGCTTTCACTAATATTGTGTTGAAGAATTCAATCAGAGTTAAACCTCGTTAACGCGGACTATCCGGGGATCATAATTGTCCGGACTAACTAAACTTCGTATTAAATTAAATTGAAAAATTTCATTATCTGTTTTACCCTAATATTTTGCAAAATGTATGCTCAATTTATGTCAAATAAATTTCATTGCGTGTTTGTTACAAGCAAAAAGGTAAGGTCATTAGAAATCAAAATGTGTAACCTGCAGATAATTTCAATTGTTTAAGCCAAGATCACTTTGAAGGCCATCTTCTTTAGATTTTATATCTTTCATCATTAAAATAGCGGCGATGCCTTATAGTTTCTTAATATGCTGTTGCATTCGTACATTTACTTTGATCTCAGTTTCAGTGTTTCGTCATTTCACTCAATCTTGGCATCTCCTCTATAGTTTTCTTCACTTCTTCACCGGAACTCACCGTTATTGATATAATACGTTATAATCACCGTTCCTTTTAAAATTTGATAATATAAAATAGCGTGGGAATCTTCATTCTCTTCGAATCATAGTTTAACATTCCCTAATGACACTTCATGGCAAACTTTGCTGATCCAAAGCTTTGAAAACATATTGTGTGACACATGCAGCTATTTCAGTACCTATATCTTCATTCAAGAGGACACATATCCAGGAATTGATAGTTTGATATATTTTAGATGAGCCGCTAGATTAAAAGTCACAATCTCAAACTGCAAAGTTTAATATACAGAATAAGGAATGTTCCTTATTCTCTAAACTAGTAGATGGCGTCTGAGCTTCCGAAAGTTGTTTCAGAAACTTTTACCAGTAAAGATGCTTAGGTACACACAAAGCACCTTGATTCACTGGCGACTAACAAGGTAAATGCATTGGTTAATAATAACATACCATCTTTCCTTCAGAACTCCTCAGGTTGTGAATGAGAATGAGTTGAAGTTGTCCAGCTAAATGACAGATTTCTTATCGATAATGAGCAGTTTTAAGTTTTAGACTTAATATATTGCAATTTTTGCTTTGGTTTTGCTCGGGAACCAGTTGAATGTATTCACAGTTGAAGTCTGCTGTAAATTAGGCACTTCCAAAATCGTGAGAATGAGCCTGCAGACTATCTGTTATATTTTTGTTCATCTCAGCCTCTTAGTAGTAACCACAACAATGGATCTAAACATATAGCCTCCATCAGCACTATTACGCAACAAAGCAGACATACGTTTCTGGTTTCCCTCCAGGTAGACCTTTTTTTTCTGTCTTGTACCCTTAAGTGTTTACTGGAAAGATATTCATTATAAACCTATTCGCTTTTGTACTGTAGCTTGATTCTACTCACTACAACCCTTTTTTAAATTTGTCCTTTTTTCTTGGAAGACTAAATAACATCAGAATGCATTGAAGACTCTCGTCACAAATCTTCTTGTTTGACATGTTTTCCCGTTTAATAAATGTATAAACCCAAACTCTCTTTTCTACCCATCAGTCACGAGCTGTTTTTCCAGTTTGAATGTCGGTCTCACTTACAACCACATGAATGACACTGTGTGAACCTTTCCTACGCAGCCTCAGCTTAAATTTGTTTTTCAAGCAGCTGCTTCATTATCAGCACACTTTTTTTCAGGCAGCCGCTTCATTATCAGTACACATTTTTTAAAACTTCAACCCAAAGACAGTTTCCTTTTTCGAATATCCAACAGTTTTCTTTTCGATTCCTTGTTCTGCAGAAATATTCTCCCCTTTTCGAAATTTCTGTGTCACTAAGAGTATCTGACAAAATTAAAGCGCTAGAGTTTACATTTTTGTTCAACAGCTGGGTTTGCTAGGAGACATGTAAGCATAAGAAATAACTTAATAAACTTAAAATGTTCCAATTTTATTCAATTTTAGATATGAGCATATTAAATATATAACACAATATAATGATTTAACAGAAGGAATGATATTGTAGAAATAGCAAAGAAAACCTGCCAGCAATCCGACAAACATGGATTAAATTTTACTGTCTCAAGTCCTGGAGATTTGCAAAACAACAAGAGTGGTCCACAATGGAAGCGTTAACATTTTAAGAAATAGACCAACCTAACTGGATTTGCTCCTTCAATTTTGATATACCGATGGTGCGTCCTTGTACAGATCCTGAGAGGCTGAAGTGACTCACAAAATTTTACTTTGCTTTACTCTTGCTTTGTTTAGAAATTTTTATTTTACGTAACAAGTTTTGCTTCTAAGAACTTTTCAATAAAGTGAAATGCAATATTTGTTACTCAGCTTTGATTTCAGTTTATAAATTTCAGTATTTGTTATTCGGCTTCTTTCCATAAATCCATATTATGGTTTCTTAGACTTTTAAAGTTACAACCATTGATTTGAAACTTTTCTTTTCGAGAGAATGTTAAAAATCTTTGCAACTTGTACAAGTGGCTTTCAGACGAACTGGCAAAAATCATTTCTAAAATTTTAAAGAAACGCAAATTGGGGAATAATAATAAAAATATCACCATATTGAAAGATTTAAAATACATAAACTATCTTATATTTCTTTCCTGAAACTATTATATTAATGATGATGAACATGAGGAAAACTATATATTTAAATAATAAAATTAGTTAACTGTCACATCTTTAAAAAAATTGAGAAATAAAATTAAGCATGCATCCGCATGTTGTTATGTATCTTTGAAAAGCGATAATTTCAAAGCAAATGAAAAGTTTAGTTTTATCTAAAATCTAACAACTATAATTCTTCTATTGAAAATGTATAAAAACTTCTTTTGTAAACATTTTGAAACAAATGTATAATATTTTTAGTAAAGTTACTAATTATATAAATTGCCTTGACGCACACATTCTAAGTAACAGGCAGGTTTGTAAGACCTGAAAACTTTCTCCGAGTTAACTTCCGAAGTATTCTTATTTCCATGAATTTCGAAAGGAGCTTTATGAAAACAAATTATAGATAGTATAATTTGCTTCTGGATAAAAAAAGTGTTTTCTCTGTTACTCTAAATACGTGGAGACTTTTCGATTGAAACCGATACCGAACTAAAGTTGAATTTCTTTAATATTAACATTGCTATTCAAAGTCAAATTTTAAAGAATATCTGATTTTTGAAAGAGCATATTTTAAAATGTAATTATATAGCAACCAGGAAAAATGCTGGAAACTATGAAGTACTTACTTTAATCACTTTTTATAATTAAAGTGCTAAATTTAATCATGCGCATATACAGCATTCATAAAATGGGACACACAATATAGAAAATTTAACAAAATAGACGTTTTAGCGTACTTATAACCAAAATTGTTCTACAATTATTTTATTCAACTTTGCCATTGTGTATAACAATAAAAATAAAGCATGGATGTATAGTAATATTATAGTGCTATGTACCATGCGCAAATACCGCATGGATTTCGCAATACAATAAGAAAGGATAGTATGAAATATATTTGTAAAAGCTAAATATTCCATTATTCGCATAATATATAAAATGCTTGGTTTTTCCCGTTACAACCAAATTTCTTACATGAGCACCATATTTTTCCATATTAAAGTAAAATTAATCTTCCTGTCTCCTTTTTTGAGAGGAGTAGACCGCAAGGCCCACTCATTCGATTTGACTGTTTCTTACAGGACACCTAACGAGGATCATCCATCGCTTTAAAACCTCCATAAGGGTTATCCGGCATAAAGGCACCGTATCTATACGAAATCCATGTTCTAATTTTTAAAAAAGCAACCTTCATAAAGTTATGGGCGCCATTATACAAATCGGATTTTCGTCGGCATTGCTAATTACTTAACTAAGTAGGTTTACGAAATAAAAATAATAATAAAAAAACCTGTATAAAAAATGAGGACATGGAAGAAACGGCGAGGTGACGGCACCCTTATGAAAGTTGTTTCTCAAGTTAGAAACTGATCATCATAAGGATGCTGGACATTTAAACTGGAGCCCTCTTATGAAAGTTTCTAACTTTTCGAAGAGAGGATGACCAGCGTAAGGGTTCAGGCACCTTTATAATGGATCTCCCTTATAAAGCGATTGCTTCCTTACAAGGTCCGTGGGCCATTTCATCCACATGCTGTCCGTTTATATAGGGACAAGAAAAATTATAACTTAAACACGTGAGGGCGTAAAGGACCCAGTTAGTTACCCTAGATAACGTCAGTGTGCTAATTTATGCAAATCACGGTATTAAATTCAATAAACGGAAATAATGATATTAGCCGGAACGGTACATGTCATCATAGTAATTTAATCACTGAATACGTGCTGATCGCGTTTAGCTTTACAACAAATATATATTTATCTCTAACCCTTCTTTGCTACTAACATTTAGATGTAAAGTAACTAATAAATTTCAAGGCTTTTATGGACTACGCGAAATCCGAACTAGTGGATTTAAGCTCTGAGATATAAATTATTAACCTCTTTCGACTTTAATTAACTTTATATTAAATATATGCAAAAAAAGTAAAGATGTCTTATTGCCAGCAGAATTCTTTCCTAAATATGATTTCATTTTTACTTTTCTTTTATTTCATTTATCAACAGAAGACGTTTACACACTTTTAGAACGATTTCGGAGACGTTTAATTAAGGTTTAAAATGTGAAGAGTATTTCTTTAAATATTCAGTCTGATATTCCCAAACTATAAGTCTGCATCGTGATTTCTAAGATAGATGATCTTTTTGTAAAATTTCCAAAGTATTGCTTTCCATCAACCCACAATCCATCAATCGTGGTGGGTGTGCAGTTAGAAAGAGGTCTTTTCAAAAGACCAAAGGCACATTAATCCACGGGTTA